GAAGCAAATCCTCCCATCCCTCTTCCTCCTGTCCCTATCACTGCAGTGCTGGTGGGTCAGAGCAAGAAGTATCTACAGTACTGCTCAGACCACTCCATCCCATCCACAGCTCCAAAGAAGTAACCCTGGTAAATAGAGCCCAAGCTGCATTTTATTCCAGAAACAAACACAGAAAGGAAGTGGATTAGGAAGTCTCTGTATCATATACTGCATTGATTTATACAAACTAACCTGGGATAGCAGCCATGTAAACACAGAATTGTATACTGGGCAAATTACTCCTTAGGCTGCTGGTACAAACAGAGCCTTTAATGATGATTTCTTAACCACCCAGAACCAGTACTCCTCCTCGAGGTGCTTCACAGCCTCATAGTTCTTTCAAAGACCCTGCAGTCTTACAATGCAAATATTTTTATTCCTGGGATAGGAGCAGTAGCTTCACCTAATGTCAACTAGAAGTCATCATTTGCTCTGCAAGAAGAACTTTTTATTCACATTAAATATCTAGAAAAGAGATCACAAATCAGGAAGGAGTTAGAAAGTGTTGAAGATGGCAACAGATAATATGTAAAAGATGACCAAATATCTATCTAAAAAAAACCAAAAAAATACCAACCAAGATACCATCAGATTCCTGGAATATCAGAGAGCTCAAGTAATCATTAGAGCATTCTTTGCTGTTATCTTGTTCTTACTTTTAATCACCAAATATTTGGTTAATGGCCACTGAAGGCAGCAACCTAGGTTTTTCAAGTTACAGACAGGCTGAACAACTTGAACAACTCCAATTCTTTAAAAAAAAAAAAAACAAAAAAAAAACAAACAAACAAAACTATACACAAAGCTATCCACTATCCAGAAGCTCAAGCACATCCATTTAATAATTGTTTCTCATACTCATGGCAGATTACTTGTTCTAATAAATTTCACTAGCACCTCAGAGCGTAGTAATAATGCACAAGTGGTGGTACCATCCCTGCAATGGTCCTCTTCTCACCAACCTGCCACCCATACAGAGGTCTGCATCCAACACAAGGACACTGTAGAGCCTGAGGACCAACCTGTGGATCTACAGGGAGTTGGAAAAAATCCCAGAAAACTCAGCTCTCTGGAGAGTCCTCCTCTGTCCATACCTGCCAGACCTTTCACTTGCTCCTGTTGGCAGACTGAGACATGAGATCATTTTTGTAACAACAGCACATAAACAGGCACAGAAATCAGAAAACACATTAAGAAGTGTAGAAGAGGAAATAGGGAAAGCATTTCCTTATGTGGTTACAGAATACTTCCTACCATTTCATGTATTACAGGTATGCCATGATCATACACACAGCTGAGTTCACTGATGCTTTGGTCTCCTTCCTACCTCTTTGCTGGCACCATTCTCTGTGCTCTGATTCAGCATTTTCATTTATTCCTCTGCATGCTATTTAAATTATCTTTATACAACATGTACAGTTGACACTGAAAAACTATTCCAAGATTCAGAGGACATTTGTTTGACACTGTTCCCATGTTCTGCAGCAATACTGCTGGATGTTTCATAAGGTTGGGAGGAAAGCCTGCCAAGCATTGAATTCACCTTCCAGGTGGCACAGAGGTAATGTTTCCATCAGCAACTCAACAAATACAGCAGAGATACCAGCATTTCACCTGAAACATTCACCTGGCACAGGGAAATATAAGAGTCATTAAATTTACTCCTTTTCACGAAGCACAGACTGACATGGTAAAATAAAAGCATTTGATCATCAGTATTACAGAGTGAAACTAAAGACCTGGAGAACTCCTAAAGACAGACATCTGCATTTTAACATCCATATCTCAACAAGCATTCAGAAAGATGATGAATGTGCACTTCGGTCTTATGATAAATAAATAAAATAAATAAAGGCATCATCTTTATTAAACAACATCAAACCCAAAAGTCAAAATTTGTCACATGTTCCCAAAATCTTGTGATACCACAAAGGAATAGCCTTCATGGAACTGCTGGAATGATTTGAAGCCTTGAGCTGTAAGATATTCAATTTTCTCTTTTTTCTTTTTATTTAATTTTTTATTTTTAAAATTAATAAGGATGAAAAGCCTACTTTTTATTAAAAGGAAGCTCACAGTTTCTCATATGTATGTGTCACTGAGCCTAGGGCTTTTTAAATAGCTGCAAGAGTTGAGAAAACTGCATTTCAGTATCACTTAATTAAAATATGAATTTTACCAGCCGCAAAGAATATCAAATGACAAACTAAAGACGGAGGAAGGGATATGAACCAGAGTGAGAAGTAAAAGCAGAAAAAAGAATTCTGTCTTCGGAAGGGAATTAAAACATCCTGCACAACACTATCCAAAAAAAGTTTGTCTCATTTGTTGTTATACAGCAGTTTTTGTAGACACAAGCTTTTCCTGCTAAGGAAGACAAGGAAGCAAAACACCAGCTTCTCCAGAAATTGTGCTCTGAGCTCCTCTGACAAAAGTCTACTGTAACTACCAAACTCACTTAATGTTTACACTGGCTAGATGAAGTTCAGAATTTGACTTTATGTATTCTGCATTTAAACTGATAAGTAAAAGAGAAATGAGATTTTGTGCACAAAACGTAGCCTTGGTTACATGATACAAAGCAAGACTCTCTAAAGATTAAAAGGTACTTAATTATTTAAGAACTCACAAAACCAAAATCTCAGGTGCTTTGCTCATCTGCATAGATATATCAAACCTGGCCTCCCCTTTCATGCAATTTCCAACAAAACAAACTCTGTGCCCACCAGCCCTAGCACTTAGCTTATTTTCATATGCAAAATATCCCAGAGTTTCTTCATTATTTCATGAATATTAATAAATAAAGTTTTGTTCTCTAAATGCTACTCTTGCTGACCATTTAGAAAATGTTTATTTTTGTCTCCCATAAGGGCAGTTCTCTGAACAGTGTAGGATAAGATTCTTTTCCTTTGAAAGTTAAAAGCAAAGTTTTGAACAAGGTTTCTGATTTCACGTACAACTTCCACTGCTATAAAATCTTTGTTTTCATGAACAGGAATGTTTGGATGAAGAATGAACTTGCATGTGTTTATGAACAATATTAACTGAAGAGATCCTGAACAGAAAGTATAAATATTTTTATATCAAAGTTGAAGATTTCAAGTTGTCCTGACTTCATGCAAGTTTTACAGGACTGTATCTACATCTGATCACAACTCATAAAGGACATTATATTCCTAAAGAGACTCAGACTTTCCTTCCTGTGGAGCTGCGTACTCAGAGCAAGACCACACATTCTTCGATTTTTCTCTTAAATATACTCAATAGTTCTGACTCTCAACAAGACATCATCTGGAAGGAAAGTTTCTCAAGTAAATCTCCACTTACAGCATCTCTGAGGAAAAAGATAGCATCAAGCAAACTCCTCATCACATAGTTTCTGAAAACCGCTGTTTGTGTTGATCACCCATCTTCATAAAATCACTGAGGTTGGAAAAGGCCACTAAGGTCACTAAATCCAACCCCCAATCCACCCCACCAAGCCCACTGACCACATCCCTCAGTGCCACATCTCCATGGCTCTTGAATGCCTCCAGGGATGGTAATGCTACCATCTGGGCAGTCTATTCCAATGCCTCACCACTTCTTCTAAAAAGCAATCTCTCCCAGTATCCAAGCTGAACTGAAAAAAAACTTAAAAAAACAGATGGGAAGAACAAAGCTAGAGGAAATTACTCAGAAGAGAGCACTGAACTCACAGAGAAAGTCAACCAAACACAACATGCATGATTTAAATACTATGCAACAGTATTCATAGCTACAACACTCAAAGGCATCTTGGTGACCTGAGGGACAAGTGATCAAGTCACACAGCTTGTAGGCAGAAGTATCACTGTGTTCCATGAAGACAAAATGAGCACTGAGCTTTGCATATACCACTAAATGCTATAGAAGTGGAGATTACACTCAGCTTCTTCAAAAAGAATTTTCAACATATTCACCAATTTTTAGAATATTCACAGTGAGAGGGTATGAACTCACACCTATGGGCTAATCATTTTAGCACATAGACAATATCATCAAAATTCCATGCAACTTATCTGATTTAATTGCAGACATGTTAACAAAATCCTGTATTTGTTATATTAGAATAAAATTGCACAACACATACTTGCCATGAGTCATATTTTGCTGTTACAAGTTTACACAAACTGTTATTATCTACAACTAGCAAATTACCTCTGTGCTGCTAAACACAGAAATTAAAATTGAAAAGAAACAGTGGTATGGTTTTGCACTTAATTCAAAGCTCAGCCAAACCCAATCATATAAGAAGAGTTAAGTCTCACAGATGTATGAATCAACATACTACATCAAGATAAAGTCTGCCTTGCTAACAAGAACTGCTTTTGATCAGACTCCATAGACCTTAATTTCTAAGAATTCAAATGCATCATGGTGGTAATACAGGGAAGTTTTCAAGTTCTAAATGAGCACCTTACACTGAATGCCCACAAGTCAGGGGAGAAGACATCCCGACTGGGATTCCTTCATGAAATATTATTCATGTCAAATACATGGTTTCCTGCCTTGGAGGCATGTTAAATTCCAACAGTACACAACATCTTTCAATGATCTCATACACATTGCTTTTCACTACATTCTCACACATTTTACTCCAGAACAGAATCAAGTAGATTAAACCACCTAATCTTTTCTATTTGTTTCTTCTTTCCAGCAGTTCTGCTAAGGATGACAATGGCACATTATCAGACACTTACTTTATTACGCTATAGCCACGTACTGCTATTGCCCACCAGTCTGTATGTACTGCAGGTGTTCATCTTTGCCTAATCTACAGAATCATAGAAATTCTATATTTTGCTGGAAAGTAGGAACATTTTGATGACTTGAATTTATGCAATATTTTTGCAATAGCCTCAGAAATGGAATATGACCTTAACCATTAATAACAGCCAAATCACCGAAGACTTTCATGAAATCTACAGAGCAACTTGTACCTGATTCTTTTACTCAAAACTCTTGACTTCCTGTTCATGCTGACTGTGGTGACAGGAGCTAGTCAATATCTAGCTGTTATTAAGATGGGGAAAAATGTGTATAAGCATATTTTGAATGGAAATTTGTTTACCCTAAAGACTTGCAGGATTTCACAATGTCTATTCTCTAATTACATGAGAGAATGAAACCAGCTCTGCATATCCCAAAGATAAGCCAGAATAACCTTAGAGAAAACATCAATGAAAACATCTTAAGTAATTTTGGTCCTAAAATTACTCCTGTAGATTTGCATATGCTTCAAGACAGTGTACTTAAAAAAAAAGAAAACAAACAACACATTATTTGATTTTTATCTCTATTCTCAGAATTTGTTTTCTTGCTGTAAATTTCTTCATCCCAGGACAGGAAAATATGTCACAAATTGTCTTATGCCTCCTCAGTCATCTCACAGACAGAGAAACCAAGTCACCTTTCCTCTCACTTGCCTCAAATAAAAGAAATATAAAACAATAATAAAAAAGGGTCTCTCATCTTAGTTTTATTATCTTTGTCTTCGCTCTTCCACCAAAGCCATATTGCCAACACATCTGATAGCAACATATACAACACAGCACTGATATACTTGAAAAAGGCATTTACAACAAGAAAGCATTAAACTAAAGTGCATGAACAGTTACTAGAAGCTGAAATTTTATCCTCACACTTAAAATAGTCAGCATTCACTCTGGCACTTATTCTGCCAAGGAACATGATTTAATAAAATGGTATATTGTCAACTCACCACAGCATGTGCTATGCCTCATCTATAGGAAATGGTTTGAAGGCATCAGCTTCACACATGAGTTGCCATAGCTGATACTGGAGACTGGCTGGCTGCTGGTACAGCTTTCTAATACTAGCCCTAGACATTAAAAAAAAGAGAAAAACATTTGGGTTTGGGGGTTTTAGGCAAGTTAAACACAGACAAACTAAGTTAAAACCAGAGCATCAATATTTGCATGTCACACAACGAAGAAATCTACGATTTTTCTGATATTCCCATTCAGGAAAGTATCTATATGGACCATTAGCTTACTTTCTTACCAGGAAAGAAAAAATGTTAAAGACCAAAAATAACACAAAATGAAGTGCTGCTTAAATGGGAAAGAGGTGTCATGCTTATTTTTCACAAAAAAATAAAAGTGGAAAAATAAAGGAGGGCAAACCCAGCTGCTCAGGAGCTCATGTTCAAAACTATTCCAAGTTACAACACACTGCATTACAAATCATGAAACTGTCCTGAAGTCTGTTTCTATTTCATCCTTTCATATGAGATCTTCTGATTTTTCCTTGGAGGAGGAAACTTCAGCAACCTGCACTGAAATGCTGAGATTTATACACAGGCATCTATTAATAATAGCTGGGGATTACACTGTAATTTGACTTGTGATCAAAAGTTGGCAACAGAAGTGCTTTATGAAACGTTGATACACCGAGGCATAAGGAAAGCCCTTGGATTGCTGCTGTCTATGAAATCACGATGCTCTTAAAAAGCACCACCACAACAAAACACTTTCAAATGATGGAGCATTCGTACTTCCACACAAGCTTAAGAAACAAGGTAAGCAGCAAATGTAAGAAGCTGTGAGAATAAACAGTAACTGAGAAGAGAAACAATTGCATACCACTCTGGTGTCTAACTACTGAACAAAACCCCAAACATACAAATAGGTGATGAGTGTTAAGCAGAAGGCAACTGCATTCATCATTGATCATCACTAAACTCTGGGCAATATTTTCTTAGCATTGTTTTGCAATGTCTTCAAATAACTCCAAAGAAAAGTGAACTGTATCTTGGAAGTCATGGAATATAAATAAAAATCTATATGTTAAAACAACTGCTTTATCACTGAGAGACCACAACACTTTACATCCAAATCACAAACTCCCCAACTCCCTGAGATGTAATTCATAATTCCAAGTTATCTGATCCATTGCTGTGAAATCCTGCTGAAACAGCTATTGATGGAATTTTGCTCTTCAGAGCCTTCTGCTTTCAGTGTTTATTACAACACAGAAAATTGGCATCTATGCTAGGAGCTGGAAGTACCCTAAATTTTCCATATCTCACTGTGATACAAACAAGAGCCTATAATCATGAAGTCATGATGGTGTTCTTAATCCTGGACAAGAAAAGAACCTCAGTGTAAAAGTACAACTGCTCTTCCCCTTCCCCCCCCACCCAAAGAGGCTCTGATTCTGTCATATTCTCCAGACTTAATCCAAAGATAAAGTTAATGACCTTCCCTTCCCACGACGTGGAGGTGAGAGCACTCTACTGCCACCAGTACATTCACATGCAAAATTAAAAATAAATAAATCAATCACTGTTTAATGAACAAACAAAACAGACTAAGAAATATTAGGAGTTGAGCTTCCTGTCCTTCTATATTAAGCACAGCTAGTGTGAAGGGCACTTTTGGCCTAACAAAACCAGGTGCATCAGGCTAAAAGGGAAATACAACAACTCGGCTGAAGGACAACTGTTCAATTTCTGCAGACTGTGGGTCATGGAATCCTGTACCACCTTCAGTCTTGCTTTAATCTATCCTTACATCTCATTATCACTGAGAAAGAGAAAAGAAAACCTATTTCTACTACCTCACATTTCACACCAACAAAGTTACACATTGCTTTCAGTTTCAGACCAACACCATTACTTGAGTACAAAAGCTTTTTTGTTTCTCTGGAAGACATGTTCCTATGTCTATCTACACAGATGGTGCTGCAAGAAAGAAGCTTACAGCAAGAGCAGCATTTCCCCTCCTAGCTGCTGCCCTTCATTAGGGTCAATTTTTCTTGCAGGTGGCCCCATTCAAACCACTATTTCATAAAGTCAGTGACAAGGCAGAAATGTTGGTAGCAAAGCTGTTGGTTTTGGGATCCAGAGAAGTCTGATGACAAAACAGAGCACCAACTATGGTAGCATTGCAATCATTAGACCTTCAGGTTCTGATTTCTAATAGTGGTGTTTTAAATTCAAGATGGAATGGGAGGATCTATGGATATAAGATTGGTCACCATAAACAAGCAAACAGGAAAAAAAGAAAAATCAGTAACACACACAACAGTCTTAACTTTGTTCTGAAGGCTTATCAGCACACTGACAATATTTTTTGTTACTTAAGAATTATCCCAAGAACTGACTCAGTTTACAGTGCATAAGAGTTTTAGAGATACCAATTTTTAAAGCTGGGGGTGCAAGTGCAGATTTTCCATTTTCCAAATCTTAATACAAATATGATATTCTAAAGAGCAATGCCAATATCCCATTCCTTCCAGCCTGCTTCATCTCCCCCTTCCTGCATAAGTTGTACAACTGACTGCAAATTGTGGGAGAGTTTTGTGACATTTCCAGATACAATGGTAGAGACATTTTGATGGCTTTCTCTTTGTTTTCTAAAGTGAAATTTAATACCGTAGCACTACTGGAAGATGTCTTGCCTTATAACAGCTGATTAATTACAATTAATTCCCTAAATGGCTATAAACATGCCAATGACTGACAGCAACAAAATAATCATAATAATTATAAACAAACAATCATAATTAAAAACAACAAAAACCCACACATTCCCAAAATCTGCTCACTAAAATCTCCCTCAGTGCAGACATTTCCAACAACAGGAGAACATTTGCTAGCACCAAGCAGGCAGACAGGCAACTGAAATCAACCAGTTTTTCACGTCAAGTAATTTTTGCCCTTGCCCATTTAGAAACATGCCTGTAATCCTAACACTGTTCAATACAGTAACAATTACACCAGGACTTTGATTAATTCTGCATGCTCTGGAGCAGCAGGATGGAGCACCTGCGAGCACACAGCTCACTGAGGGTCAGGAGAAGGAATATGGTTTAATGGCCGAGGTCAAATCACCTTTGTCATTCACATCTGCTCCCCCCAGGAGAAAGCTATTAGCTCAGCCAGTTGAAAGGTATTTCCTTGCCACCTTTCCTAGCATCAAGACAGTGAGCACACAGCAGGAGTATGAGGAAGAAAACACTGCTCTGGAGCTTTCTTGGCTGATGGCTACAGAGCAGCATTCTGAAATAGGGTTAAAGATCCGAGGTTTGGAGAACCTCCCCAAGGCACAAAACCAAAGCAAGCTTACATGTGGGCAAAGATAACAGCCCTGTGCAGAAACAAGGCCATCTCATCCCATTTAAACCTTTCCCATTTTCTGAAGCTGGCTTTACATTCTGTATCCTCCAAAAACCTGATTGCAGACTTCTCCCAGGCATTTACGTTTTTCTCTTAAAAAAAAAAAAAAAAAAAAAAAAAAAAAAAAAAAAAAAAAACACAACAAACAAACAACTCCAGTCCATTCAACCCCATTATTCTTTTCCCCCTCCCCCCAGAAATCTGTATTTTCAAGGACTGTTTGTATGACTTTAAACAGATCTCTGGCAAAACTCACACAGAGTATATCACAGGAGGGAAAGGCTGCAGTGAATATACCATGTAGCTATGCAGCAAAAGGAGCCCATGTAAAGAACTGAAAGCCACTGAAGACAAACGCCATGGAACATGCCCAGTTTGAGTCGCTGCTGGGAGCACAACAATGCTGACACTTTAGGAAAATAGCATTTGTTTTCTTTCTTTTTAGGTCCCTCTGTAGAAGAAAAACTACTGTTTCCTCTTGTAACAAGAGCTTTTCTGCCAAAATATCTCCCTGCAAAGCAGCACTAATTCCACTGCAGTATTCAGCAAGTGTTGAGCTCTTTTGCAGAGCAGCTGCCCTGCAGCGTGCTGTAAACACCTCTCCCAAAGCTCCCGTGGTGCCATCAGACGCAGTCAGCTTTTCCATTCACTTATGCTGGAGCAGTCACACAGAAGACCAATGGTTTCCTTGGACAGCTTACTTACAGGACACTTCCACACTCAGAACAGCTTTTCAGATCCTTCTGCCCACCAGCACCTTTTTCCCTTTCTCTCTCCATTCAGCCACTTTGCTGAAGGCCAAGACTTATGTCATTAAAAAAAAAATCATAGAATCATAAAGACCTCTCAGATCATCATGCCCAACCTCTGACCTATCCCCACCGTGCCCACTAACTCATGCCCTCCAAATTTCCATTTGCTTAGCATCACCTTCTCTTCTGCTTTCACAGATTCTCATTTTATATGGCTTTGCATGGACAATACAACTCCCATAATGTACTCTTTGCTGCTGAATTGTGCACTGAGACCCCTCTTTCCTCCCAAAGCCCCCAGGCAGCAGTGAGGCTGAGCAGCAGTGAGGCTGAGCAAACCACAACTGTTTACATGAGCCAGCTGGTGAAGCACTGTCACCCCATCCATGATGTGCGCTGCTCTCACAACCAATGAAACACCCAAACACACACTTTTACAGACCCTAACAGACAGGAACACAGGAACACGATTCTCAGCCACAGTACATAGGGATGCAGCCATCCCACTCCAATTCACCATTTGCTCCATTAATCTGCCTTCTGTTCCCCCATCCTTAAAGAAACACCCAGCATCCATCACCCCACCCCACAAGAGCAGGTCAGTATTTGACCACCAGTGTCAGATGCCTACCATTCCGTGCTGCCTCTGTCCTCCTCACCCAGCCACCTTCCCCCAGCTGCACGTCAGGTGGTATTGTTAAGCCACATTCCAAACAGTGCCAAGGAAGAGATGAGCTTCTTATTAAAAATATAAATAAAAATAAAATAAAAAAAGGTGGGCAGCTGGATCCAACGTTCTCCTTTAAAGAATTACATAAAAGAGAATGGAGGAGAAAAGAAAAAGGGGAGGCAAAATGTCTGATGATAACAGAATAAAAGAAGAGCTTGGTTGCTGAATCACGCTCTGTCACTGCCTGGGAACCATTGTGCAGCTGATGCTGGCTGTAC